CTAAAACGAATGAAGATATCGGAATTTTGATTGTGCCATTCGAGGTTTCTCCAAAATCGAACTTGTATCATGTATATCGGTTTTTCGATAACTCCTCTAGTTATTGAGATAGACGGTGATATCGCCCAATTTTGCCCACCCTGTACATATACATAAATATATATACAGACAGAAACATAAACCCAGGAAAGATGTGGTGGATTTGACACGAACGACATAGGTACTTTACATAATAGAAAAAAAAATACAAATCGGTTCACCACTGAAAAATTCATCTGAACTAAAAAGGATGAGTGCATAGTAAATCTTTCAGCTTCTTTCTGAATGTTACATGCACTTCTACATTACTCAAATGGAATGGTAGGCAATTGAAGATTATACAGGGTGTTTGGATCACCGGATGATTTTTCAAGGTGGCTCACCCCTATAACTTTTCCATTATTGAAGGTGGAAGAACGAAACTCAGAGGATGTGTTTTATTTGACGTATTCACTTGCTTTGCCATACTTTCGGTTCAACAGGAAATGGACCCAACTTCTGATTTTTAAATGGGACAACCTGTATTTTATTTCATAAGCGGTTAGGGATTATCAAGATTACGAAGATATTTGAATTCGAAGTTTCCATATGCTCAATGGGTGCGACAGAGAAAGAAGATTCGATATTGTGCCGTCACACCCATTGAGCATAATGGGAACTTCAAACGCAAATATCTTCGTAATCATTTGGAATCACCCTATCAAACCCGATATCGTTGGATTCCTTAATCCCTAACCGATTATGGGATAAAATACCAGGAGTCATATTTAAAATTCGAAAGTTTGGCTCATTTCCGGCCAAACCGGTCAAGTACAGCAAAGAAAGTAAAAATGTCAAAAAATGTCGGCATCATATGGGAAAAACTTTTATTAATGTCTTATTTTGGAATTCGAGTGGGACGTTGAGTTTTGCTTCAAAAAAGATAAAAAAATGGCCTACTCAATCGGGGTCACGTGACTTTCGTAACATGTCAATAGTGAAATTTTTTCAAATTGATCGCTGAAAGTAGGCTTATTTGTTCGAATATCGGAAAAGTTTACTTGAAAAAGTTGTTTCTATTTCAATTTTACACATGCTTCTCGAATTTGATCCTTCTATTGCAACTTAACGATTTTCATTTTTTTCTTAATTTTTCAAAATTTCTGTAATATTTGAAGAATTGTTAATTCCACGAAACTACTTCATACCAGTAGCTTTTTCATGCTTCTTACTTTCAATTACTTATAATCACTGATTATGGACAGAAATATGATTTTCTTCAGAAAATGATAATACGCCCGCTTCCAAATTCTGTTACGTTTGATGCAACGTTGATATATCGTCAAGCATTTAGAAACGAAATTCATTCAAACTGATCTTTTCAGTACTGAAAAAATAAATTCAAATGAATTTCGTTTCTAAATGCTTGACTCAAACATAACAGCATTTTGATGTTATGTTTGCATCAAACATAACAGAATTTTGAAGCGGAGATTATCATTTTCTGAAGAAAATCATATTTTTGTCAATAATTAGTGATAATTAGTAATTGAAAGTTAGTAGCATGATGGAGCTACTGGTATGAAGAAGTTTTATCGAATTTACAATTTTTCTAATATTACAGAAATTTCGAAAATTTTCAAAAAATATCGAAATCTAAAAAATGTAATAGAAAGATAAAATCCGAGTCACATATGTAAAATTGAAATAGAAACAACTTTTTCAAGTAAACTTTTTCGATATTCGAACAAATAAGCCTACTTCAAGCGATTAATTTGAAAAAATGTCACTTTTTACATGTAGCGAAAGTCACGTGACCCCGATTGAGTAGGCCATTTTTCATCTTTTTTGAAGCAAAACTTGACGTCCAACTCGAATTTCAAAATAAGTCATTAATAATAGTTTTTCCCATATGATGCCGATGAATGACCTGTATAATACACATCCCCAAATTTCGCTCCACCATCCTCAATAATTAAAAAGTTATAGGGGTGAGCCATCTTCAAAAATCACCTGGTTTACTATTATCTATTATACAAAGCGTGGTATCATCGTTTTGTCAAACATTTTATCTGATTGTACCTATCTTTTTTCTTAAAAAGTTGAATACGTATTTCATCGATATTGAACACGTAATGGGACTTAATGTGTTAAAAATAGTATATTGTATATCAAGATTCGAATGTTTCGTTTTGCAAGCGTTTGTTGGACGAGAGGGAGATAGTGCGCGATTTCAATCGTGTTATATTAATAAAATCTAATCATATAATTTTTTTATTGAATCGTTCTATTTTTTGCCATATCTTCTTACTCGTTTGGAAAAATCCCATCAAGCCCGGCATTGTTGAATTTGTAATAATGAATTCTACTTGACTATGGAATAATATACTGAGTGTCCCTATTGAAATAGGAAAGTTTAGGTACACTTCGTTGTGACCCTGTATACCTACGATTTATTCAATAGCATATTTCGAGTCAGCATCATCAAATATACTGGGTGACCAAATTTTAAGTCATTCGATCGCGCGGTTGATTTTTTTCAGAGGGGAACATTTTAGCTGGGACACGGTCACGGTGTATATGTCATTTCATAACTGATGAATAACCATACATTACAAAGTTATCAGAAACTTTGTCTGAAGTTACACACGTCGCAATTCGAGAATCAGCTGTACATTTATTATCAATTGATTTAATAGAGAGAAATTCTGATAACCTAATGCTTTCAACAAGCTTGGCATCACTGGCAGCGTCAACCAATCACAGTGTCAGCGCTATTTGGGAAAAGAATATGGATGCCGAATTAGTGTTAACGTTTGTTTCCACTGTTTACATAGTGTTAATGCTCTTGAAATTTGTGACATTCAAGTGAATCAGTGAATTGTTGTGAACAATCGTTAATCCTTCAGCGTACTGATGGTGCTTAATTATCGTGTTATATGCAGGAAAACTGCTTATTTACACCCAGAACTCTCTTGTCATTTGTAATTAATAACAAAGGAATTTCAACATTGGCGTAGTGCAGGGTATTAACTCATATGTCCGTTAAATCAATATTAGTTGAAGTTAATTACGAATTATCATAGGAAGGATACCTACATATTGCTAGTTGAATACATTTATTGATTTGGTTCTTGTAACCTACATTTTATCTATACCAATATAAAGAAGAAAATATTTGATTGTTTGTTTGTATTGAATATGCTCCGAAACTACTGGGCCGATTTGAAAAAAAAAAAATTCTTTCACCATAAGAAGCCGACATTTTGAACGCGGGAAATTTCTAAACGGCTGAACCGATTGGGTTGAAATTTTATATTGGTATTTCGATGGTTTCCTGAATGATTTGGAAATATAATTGGCCACAGTAGGTGCCGTTGCTGTCGGTACGTCAATTTTTCAACGGCTTGACCGTTTGGGTCGAAATTTTGAATAGGTAAAACAACAACAAAAAAATACAAAAGATAGTGAGAGAATGAAAATAGGTGTAAGTATATAGTAGAAGCTATAGGTAGGCACAAAAAAAATTGAAAAAAATAACAAAAGAATATATACTGTAGATACGCGCATAGCTCAGAACGACTGCTACAAATGTCTCATTTGTTTTTAATGAGTACACCAACCGTGCGAAGCCGAGCCGGACAGCTAGTTTCTTATAAATCTGAAATTCAGATGAAACATGTTTCACAGATTCCCTGTGAAGGATGTGGTTGTCACTGTTCAGATTGAAGGCACAATTTATTCTCTTTTGGTAATTTGGTATGTAATAAAACCGACCACCCATGCAATAATAATTGTATTATCAGTATTGTGTAATACTTGCATGTTTAAATAAAATGTCAGTATAATTTGTACTTTTGAATGATCCTTAATTTTCTTTTATTTCAGAAAATCTGATATATTATATAGTATATATATATCCGAATGTTCGAAGATAGCTAATGGATAGCTATACCTATACCCGAGAAAAAAAACAGACATTTTGATAAATAATTCTTGTTTTTTTTTCTGGCGTTATTTGTTGAATCGAATCAATGTTGAGATCACACTTATTTTCCGTATATCTCCGGCTCCGTGGCAGAGTTTATCTATGCGCTGAAATTCGCTAGATAGCCGTTCACGATGCAGAGGTACTTTCGGTTCGAATCCGGCTATCGGCTGAGCATTTTTCTTTAAAATGTGTGATTCATGGTTGTAATCCTGGCAGCACCTCGATGCCCTAGAAGTGGTTCGGATTCCACTATAAGCTGTAGGTCCCGCTCTTCCTAACCCCGCACAAGTTTTGACTTCTGGGGAGTTGGTTCCCAACTTTGAAGTAGCGATATACAAAAAAAAAAATACTCGGAATTTAACAATTTTCTTGACGGCATATGTTTAGTCACATAAATGCGCAACTTTTCCCGAATTTAACCATCTTTGTATCTCCTATAGTTTCTGAGATCCCAATGGTGGCCCTAGACAAAATTATTCATTTAGCAGTTTACTACTATATTGTGTAATGGAATCTTGAAAAAATATATTTTCTTTGTATCTTGAATATTTCAAGTATCGGAAGGTACGCCACTGGCGGAACGAGAAATATCACAATCTTTGACCTCGCCTGAAAGCTACTTGGCTTCAAGATTATGTGAATACAGAATCGAGGATGCCCAGGCCATCTTTGATTATACGTCCATGTTTTCAACACATTGTTACCTAATACATTAACATAAATAGGTATAATCATACATAAAGAGAGAGGATTGATTTCAAAGTGATAGAATTTGATGAAAATTTTAATCATCTACTACCAAAAAACGGCAAATTGAATAAATATTGTTTCAGTTTGCATCAATCCAAGCTAATTGTTAATAGTCATACTGTATGTAGGTACATAAACAACTCATCACAACACATTTTACTATCATTGTATATGAATTCTGAAAATTCGCTACTTGAATTTATGATAAACTGAGACATCTCAAGAGTGAAAGTCACTTTACCTGTTTAGATATCTTCGATTCTCAAACAAAATTTCACGTTGTTTTTTCAGTTTCAAAGTAGGAACAACGTCGGGTTTCAATCTTATGAGCTTGTTTTTATAAATTTTATCTGCTTCATTGAAATGCTCACTGCAAACCATATTGCTGGTACTCAACTTCTCAACAAAGGGATCTCGCCCCAGAGCAATCATCCAAGCATCATGACGACTTTTGGTTAACCTAAAATGTAATTATTTATAGAGCATTTAACTATTCATTTAAAATAGCTTCTCTATTTGATTTGGATTTTAAGCACGTTTTGATAACTAGAGAAGTCATCTACTTAAATAAATGGTATGAAAAGCACAGAGCTTGACCAATTATACAAATTTACCTGAAGTAAGATATTCCTGGAATCTGACCTTTATTTGGACACCAAAGGACCATGCAATAAGACATTGAGAACAAAACAAAATAGGATGAATTGTCACTACGATCACAATAAAACTTCCGAAACAAAATCCAATTAAACCGCCACTATGAATAATTGTAATTCAGCGCTTCGTTTGAACAGAACACTGTACTCTCTGCTGATAGTGTTAATTAAAGATTGTTTACTATGAAATACTTCCCTCTGGTAGGTACTTGCTAGCCAAATCAAAGAGAAACACGTTGAAGTGAAAATAAGTGCCTTCCTCTCCTCCAGATGTCTCACCAACCTCTTCTGTTATACCGCTTTTGTTACTATTAGAGTCACTGGATGGTATTAGTAAGATAAGAGTTCGGACACAGGAATGACAACTGTTAGTGTTTTTAAATGTTTAGATTAATTAAGTTACACACCTTGCATTGTGACAACAGTGATATTCTTCCATTCTGAACTAACTGACACATTTCACTTGAACTAATCAGTTGACATGCATTGTACATAATGAACGTCATTCGAAAAAACGATTCAGTTCAGTTCTAGTCAAATATTTCAGTTAGTTCAGATTGAAAGAATATTACTAACAGCATCATAGTCGCTCCGCGCTGTTTCATTCAAAATTGAATTTGAAAATAAATGTTATGATCTGGCCTGGTTACCGGCGTAGAAATAATGGAGAAATAATGAATCCGTCATCATCCGGCCTCTATACCGGCGTAGAGATAAAAGAGCCTGATATTTCTCACACACACTTAATAAACTTCACATTAAATATTGGATTTCAATCCAGATCAGGTAATTAGAAAATTATGGACTTCACACACATTAACCTGACTTTTGGCCTGGAGACGCCATGTTTCTCCTAACGTTGCCAAAAGTCGAATGGTGTCCGAACTCTTTATCTAACTAATACCATCCAGTGACTAGTTACCATAATTTTTATATTATACAGATTGTTTATCATTACATTTGAGATTATCAAGAAAGGATGGCATTTGGCAACATGGCAGTTATGGAGAGCAAAGATCACCAATGGACCATTGAGCGCGTAGTGAATTTCAGTATTCATTCTGTTCAGATATTCCAGTGGAGAGCAAAATAAGTCTTTTCCTTGTCAAAGTGACTGGAATTCCCCTCAGTGGGGTAAGAAATCCATGCAAAAAGGATTCTGGCAGATCTCGAAAACGAGATAAAAAGCATCAAGGAAAAACTCTCGAAATAGTCCAGATCAAGGAATCGATCCTGAGACAGTTCGGAAAGGCGCCGATTCAGACCTAGAGCAGAAAAAATGCGATTAGACAGGTTTCAAAACATAAACATCAGTCCAAGGGACCAAGGTCCAGAACTCGCACAAACGGAGTTCTGTAGGTCTATACTGAGCCCCAAGAGCTCTTGCCTTGATGAAGGACTACTAGTATAAGGACCTTGGTAAGAATCCAGAATATTGGTCGTCTAAATCAATTCCTTCAGCGGAGGAAGATCCATCATACTCTCTGTAGGGGCAAGTCGGAGCTTAGAAATCCTGAATCATTGTGACTCTGAGGCATCAGATCAAGAAGAGTTGACAAGATGTAAGGAATAAGAAAATGTTTCTCCCGCTGATGAACACATAATCATTCTATCAGAAGGGATGGAGCTAGAGAAATACGTCTCGAAAGTACTTGGATGGGACACCCAGTCCAAAAATTCTTCTTTCACTCTCCATTCTATTGCTAATTCAGAATTTATGGGAGGCCGTTCTGACAAAGGGTCTTTTTGAGGAAGAACACGTACAGCTGATTGAAAAAATATCAGTTCCCAGTGAACTTGGAGGGCCCCTGAAATTGATCCGGAAATTGAATCGGCATTTCCAGCAAGTACTAGGAAGAACGATCGATTCTTGGTTATCAATTGGGATCTTGATTGGCTACTCTAGGGGAGACTATCAATCTAGAATCCTGTGTAATGCTCATTATAACACATCAATTAAGAAGATCTCTGATTAGTTTGATTTTTCCATACCATGATAATGAAACAAAATAGCTTGCACATAAAGCAAACTTCACTTGATGCATTTGGGGCCAGCAAAACAAAGGAGGGAGTAGCGACTGCAGGTTCGATACCCTCGAGGAGAGCCAGGGAGGAGCATCATCTATATCCGCGAATAGTTTCAGGAGTTAGGAAAATAAGAGGTACTCTGAACAAAATTGAAACATGTTGGAAACATCTTGAACCCACCAGAAGAAATTCTAGGTTGGGCTAGGGGTCCCAAAATCCCTTCACAGGTAGACTTTTACAAGTTTATTGTGAAATATACAGGCGTGTGGAGAAAAGAACCAGTGAGTTGGATGAGACTATCAAGAAGCGGATGAATCAGAGGGTGCTATATATAGAAATAAATTCATATCAGCAATAAATAAATGAGTGGAGAATCCTCATATCAAAATGGAGGACTATAAAACAACAGTACTTAAGACTGTTAATGCCAAATTTCTTCGTGGCTAAGACTGATCTCAAGGATGCTCACTTTCTAATACCGGTAGATGAATATTTTAGAAAATAGTTCGGGTCTGAATACAGAAATAAATTATTTCAATTCACCTGTGCCCCTTTTAGTTTGTCATAAGAACAATATACATTTATGATGATTCTTTTTTTATCTCTTGGAGCGCACGAGAGGAAATTACTATAATGTTCGTGGAACATCGTGGGAACCCATGGGGATAGGGAGAGATGTTACAATTTTATTTTTGGGGGTTATCAGTTCTTGGGAATACTTCCATTGGCAAAGAATTCCAGAGCTTCGCCGTTCTATAGACAAACGATTTGTGGTAGTGTTGTTCGACATATTTCAAGGTTAACGACGGAAGGATGTGTTGACTGGCCGTGTCGAGTTTATCTGACTGGTATTGCTAGTGATGGAATTATAGCAGAGAATTATAGGCACAATGAGAAAGTATAATATGTGATTTTGTATTAGTTTTACCTCGAATATTTTGCTGATGTATTTACGAATTTTCCCCATTTGGTCACTTCACTTTCCATGTTCTAAGTTCATTTGCAGTTGATGGAAAGCTGACAAATTCAAATTTGCCATCCAACTGATTGATACAGCCTAACGCAGCACATTTTACCATCATTCCAAAACAGAAATGAAATTTTGTAAGATCTCTTTCAACGCCTATAAATGTGACGTGACAGCAATGTCCGTACGCCAATATACGAAACCAAAGTCACTAGATGATTAAAAGAGAAAGGAGCTATGATCTGTCCGTACCCTGTTAGATGACAAATACGTCAGTTTGCATCAAGGGACCCTAGGTGGATCTAAGTCAACAAAAAGGCATTGGATAAAATAGTTATTTTTGTATCTAGAGCGCGAAATGCTACTTTGGTGATCGAGATCTGATTTTTTTAACGGGGCGTAGCCGAGTTAAAAAATAGTCGAGATGACCAAAGTATTTCGCGCTCGAGTTGCAAACAACATTTTTTCTACAAATGTCCAAAAATATAGTTCTCAAGTAAAAATATGCTTAGCTTGATATGAAGAATAGTGTTGAACTGACCTAAAAGGCCTCCCCCTGTCATCCCAAAGAACGCACGATGTTCCACGAACATAATAGGAATTTCCTTTCGTGCGCTCCAAGAGATAAAACAAAGTTATTGTTGAACATTCAGAAATAATTGATTTCGTGGATATGTATGCTCGATTGAGGACCATGAAGTTGAAATATAAATATCTCATATATTTTACATACCAATGCGCGAAGTACCTACTTCGCGCACTGTTTTACTTCGCGCATTGTTTTGTGCAAGGTATCATGGTAACGTAGGAAACTGAAAAAAGTGTCACTTCGCAATTTGTTATCAATGCGCGAACCTTGTCATTTTTTGACGTTTGTAGAAAAAAACTATTTGATCGAAATATATTAATACTTTTTTATGAATTTTTTTTTCAATGATGAATTTTGATATGAGCATAAGCCAGCGTACCATCATGGTTGAAGCGTCAATATTCTATCCACGTTGGATTGCCGGTAGGTGGGTTCGATTCCCACCACGACCGCAGATATTTTTCTGATGACCTAAGAAAGTGTTTGGAATCACACATTAAAAGGTAAGACCCCCATCATTCCTTGCTCGCACAAGTCTCTTGAAGACTTCTGAGGGTTGCTCGTAAAGGGGCAACGGACACGCCCACAGACACATTTTTTTCGTTTAACATTATAATGCATAAATGAATGTATATAAATATAAACAAAGAATAGAATACAATAATATAGAGATGTCTCAGTTTCAATCCAAATTAAAAATTATTGCATTATACAGGGTGGGTCACGGTAGATGGCACCTTAGACGTTTACGGAGAACGGGACATAAGATCATTCTGAAAATTTGGTTACTCAAGTAATTGCTCTTGATATATCGATCTAAAATATTTTCAGCTCTGCGGCGTTGCCGCTTCTATCGAAAAGTAGCAACAACTTTGTTATTTTAAATGGAACACCCTGTATTTTATTACATCTTCAGATTCTCTCTGAAGAGCTGATTTCATCGATATATCACACTTGGGGTCTAGCGGAAATGATTACAGAGATATAGGGTGTGAAAAATCGACATTTTTCAACTTAAGGATTTTTTTTTGTCGAAACTATTCATTATTGGTCAAAACGGCTTACATGTCCCTATCTCAACTTTTGATTAACTATCTACTGATATTTAATTGGGATATATACCGGGTGATCAAGAATCTGAATTCTGCACCACCCTGTATTTGTTTCAATTAAATGTCAGTAGGTAGTTGATCAAAAGTTGGGATAGGGACATGTGAGCCGTTTTGACCAATAATGAAGAGTTTCGACAAAAAAAATTCCTAAAGTTGAAAAATGTCGATTTTTCACACCCTATATCTCTGTAATCATTTCCGCTAGACCCCAAGTGTGATACATAGATGAAATCAGCTCTTCAGAGAGAATCTGAAAATGCGATAAAATACAGGGTGCTCCATTTAAAATAGATAGATAGATAGATAGATAGATAGATAGCTTTATTCAAAGAAGTGTACTCATACATTTACAATACATAAATATAATTAAATGAACTGGCGTCAAATGATATGATGTTTGTTAACAAACGAACATCTGAGAAAGAAGAAGGTACTGAAATCACTATTAAAAAAACGAACATGTTAAAAAATACCTACTTAATGAGTAAAATAAAGACATTTGATTGATATACAAAACACTAAAATACACTAGAAAAAAAAAACTGATAGATTGAAATTACATTGTTAGCAAATAAAATAGATATACATAATTATAATAACAATAGCTAAAAATAAATGAATGAA